TAGTTGTCAGTTATAATCATTAAAATTAAAAATAATAAACATTTGAAATATCAGTCTGTGTGTAATGAATGAATATACAAGTTTCACTTTTTGAATGTCATTACTGAAATAAAGCAACTTTATCATGATATTCTAATTTTATGACCAGCACCTGTAAACCATGCTTTAACTGTTCAGTTTCCTGCTGGATGTTATCATTCACACAAAAAGGAAAGTGTTGCTCCTCAGCATAATGAAATTCAAAAACGTTTAACATCATTCATCCCAGCCTTATTGTGYTGCACACGAATATCCTTGGTCACACATTTCTACTGTACTTTGAGTAAGAGTTAAACTCCATCCTGTGAGGCAGCACCACATAGACATTCAGTCCACAGGAGTTCAGATCACTCTGTTACAGAACTGCTTGTACTGTATTGTTCTGCAGGACAAAACCATCAGTGGTGTGTTTATTTAGTGTTTTGTAAGATGTGACAGAGTAAAAAAAAAAAAAAAGGCAAACGGCATCATTTTACTGCTGGTAGGTTTTTTTGTATCAATCTTTTTCCTACCTTATACCACGTGAAGTTAAAGAAGGTTTTGGCTTATTCTTATTTATCCAACTCACATGCAACTCAGAATAAACTTTATAAAAGTCGCCAGTTTGTAGTCTAGCTACATCGGTGTTAAGTTTAAACAAAACTAAAAGTTATTTTATAGTATAGGACATCAGTTGGCATCATGTGTTCTAGCAAAAGGTCTCAAATGCATTTAATTCAGCTGTTGACATGTGGGATTACAGCTAAGCAGTCAAAAAGTTTGAGTTTAAGGGGGAAAACAAAAAACCTAATCCGACTGATTTTTTTTTTGTTTTTCTTTTCATTGCCTTGTGTCCAGACAATGACGAGCCCTTACTTAGTGGGTCGGGTGACGTTTCAAAGGAGTGTGCAGAGAAGATCCTGGAAACCTGGGGAGACTTGTTGTCCAAATGGTACGAGTTTGTTTTCTTTTTAACCTTCACTCTTGTCATCGTTACAGCAAATGTACACAGTTCCACTGCAGTCTATGTGACAGAGAGCAGTAAAGAAGTTGTTGCTGACTTGATAGGATGGTTTCTTTGTTCTGTTACTCTGTATCTTTAATCAAAATCTAATTACTGTAAGAAAATGCTTTAATTCACAGTTAGTTAATTCAAAGAAGAAAATATACTCTACAGATTGTCTCCTATCCTATTTTGTTTCTTATGCACATTTTCAAGCCAAAACAAACAGTTGATTTTGCACAGTAAATACATGCAGTATATATTTAAAATAATAAAAAATAAAATAAAAAAAGACATATGAATGAACATTTGTCCACATAAGTAGATTTGTGGATTTGTGTCTGTTGAGAATACCAAATAATCCTTGGTGAGCTGAATGTTTCATAGATGTTTGTCTTTTATCTGAAGCAGAAAAGCCTAAATAAAAGAGGAATCACAAGACTAGGTTGTTTTAATACACGACTCCTGTGTGTGATTTATATTTTAATAAGACTGGGTGTTTTTTGGCTTTTTGGGACCTCAAAGACTCAAGTCACAAAAAGACTTAGCAGTTCTTATGCCTCCGGGGCCAAGCCTGGCAATAATTGCATCACATGCAAAAACACAAACATACACATTTCTTTCTACTCTCAGCAGAAAATGCCACAAATTCCTCTTTAAATAGGAGAAAAATTAAGATTTGGGAAACATATCTGCCATAATTTGTGGAGTTTTGATAGTGTTTCTGGTTTTAGTTGTTTACAGTGATACTTATTTCTGCCAGTATTTAGTTTTTTTAGTCATCTGTCTTTTCTGTAACCCCTCCAGCCTGACAGGTTTAGGTTTTGTTTTGACCATAGTTCTACGGCTACATTTACTCGTCTTCTGGTAGATCAATGAGTTCATGTAACTCTGCTTATCATACCTAAGAGTAATGTTTTCCCTGAAGATATGACATTTAATATGCAATAAAACAACTGAAGATGGAAAACATTGCATTGTTTATCATTTCTGCAATTTCCTGTTGGCTTGTTGTTTTCCCCTTTAATCTGTTTTACTAACCTGCTAGAAAAATCACGAGGGTAAAATTTAATTAAAAGTATTGTGCCACCAGAATAAAAGTGGCTGCTGTTTTACATTTTGAAATAGTTGCTTTGTTATTTGTGACTGATTGCATCACCTTGAGGAGCAAATAGACGTTTTTACATGCAAGTAATTTATATAGGTTTATATTGGTTGTACGAGTCGTCCTCAGATTTATCTTTTTCACACAAACCATCTGTATGATGAAACTGCAGGGAAGCGTTTGCACAAACATTGCATTTAGAAAGGAGGACACTAAAATAACAACACTAATAGATGAAAAAGAGCATAAATGTTGAGCCATTATGATTTAGTAGATTCTCTGATCTTTCTCAGGCACATGAACTTATCGGTGCGTCCAAAGCAGCTGCCAGCTCTGGTCCGGAGCGGCATCCCTGAGGCACTCCGTGGGGAGGTGTGGCAGCTCCTGGCAGGCTGCCACAACAACGACCACCAGGTAGAAGAATACCGAACTCTGATTACAAAGGTAAGACCGCACTGAAGTTGTCTTAATAACAAGGGCTCACGTTGTTAACTATTAAGCTTTATTTTTGATTGAAAAGACAAAAAAATGCATGTAGATGGTTCAAACTAAAATGCAATGAAAAATTGGTTTGAAAACATTAAGATGTCCACATTTTCACCTTTTTAGCCCATTTGTAAGCTGCACAGTGTAGGTGTTACTATCAGCAGCACCTCAGGGTCAGATTTCTGATCCAAAAAAAATCACGAATCTGGAGAAAAGTTGGGCTTTGTTTGCTAAATCTCAGTTTTATCAGGTATGTTTGCTTACAGATATTCTAAACATGAAGTTCTTGCAGGTTACAGCAGTAACCTCACTTTCAAACTTACAGCCAAACAAAGTAAAATTTACATTTTTAACAACTGATTATCTAGCCTCTGTCAGTGTTCCCCAGGCCAGCTGTGGCTGTAGCTTGCCCCCATCAGTGTGTGAATGTGTGTAAAGCGCCTTGGGGTCCAAGTGGATTTGATAAGGCACCATATAAGTTCAAGCCATTTTACCATTTTTTTAACCATTATGTAAGCATTTTACATGATATTTTTTGTGTTACACACAAATTAAGCTGAAAACATCAGAATTTAATTCATTCCTTTCTGAATGTTTGTCCAGGATTCATCAGTTACTGAGATTAGTAATCGACCAAATGAACATTTTACTTCTTTTCACTCTTGTCAACAGTCATAATTAGTTTTCCTTGTTTTTTGGAGTCCACCACAGGGGTCTCTGATTAAGATGTTTCATAAGGTTGTGTCTCACGTGCTTTTAAACTTGTGATGATCATCAGTGTTTGCCCTGCAGATTAGAACTTCTGATTTTTTCATTCTTCTCTTTTTTTCTTTTATGAAACCAAAAACCAAAAAAACAAACATGACTTTTTGTTCCTCAGTGAACATTTCAATGTTATTTTTTTTAGTTTAGCTGTTTCAGCTCACATCCAGTACCTTTTTAAAAAGCTTGCGTCTGCAGTAATAAATGCCTGTTTTCTACAAATCTATTAAAGCAAAAAGAGATTTTAACAAGGTGTTTGCCTGCTTTCTGCAGCAGTCAATRATCTAGATTTTGAAAACACCAGCTTTACTGATAAAAGAAGGCATCTTTTTTTTAATTTATTAGACATATTGAGTGATAATATCTGAATGTGAGTTAAAAATAACATCTAGCTGTTTCAGTTAGAAGAAATAGTCAGACCCTGGTGAACATGGTTAACTCTTGGTGCACTTACTTTTAGTTGGTCGTTGTTTTTTTTTGGCTCCCGCTCATTTTTTGCTGCTATCTAAAGGCCACATCGCCGGCAGCTAGCTGAGTCCCAGGTGGTGAATAGATGTTGATTCTGATTATTTCTTGCTTTCTTTCTAAATTTTATTTCCCACCTTTTCCTCTCTCATCTTTTTTTCCATTTCTGTTCATTATTTTTGTTTTTTATTAGCATGTATGGTATGACTAAAACCCAGACAAATTTAGCAATGAATTGCTACGCTGCTTACAGTTACAGTGATAGTGTTTGGACAGAAAGTTGGACAGGAAGTTAATACAGGAGAACCAAAACATTCCATATTTGTGCATCAGGGAACAAGCTCACAGAGAAAAGTGTAAAGAATTTGTGCGGCTAAATTTGACTCAGACATAGGGTTTGTGTGTTTTGTCTGCATTGACAGAATGCACCTAAAAACAGTAAAAAATGATCTCCTTTAGGAGTTAGACAAGAAGAGGAATATCAGTGCATTTTCTTTGAAATAACCAGATTCTTTGCATTGTTTTAATTATTTGACTTCTTCACAGACTTATTACAAAGAACTTTTGATCACTAAAACATTGTAAACTTTGCCACGTTACACACGAACATCCTACATGTTTCTACCAACATAATGCCCACTTAAGAGTTATTTAGCTTGAGTATAATCTCATAACCTGGAGCTGTTGATATTGTCTTTTAGTAGATGTTACGTTTCTACAGAAGAGCATTGCATTCACCAAATAAAAAAAGTAGACTCCTGATCTCATAATTATGACTAAAGTTAAGGAGTCATAGCTGATCTACACTACAGGAAAAGTGGACAATGATTGCACTATAAGGTTTTATATGCTCTTTTTTCCTCTTTTCAGAAATATTGAGTTTTCTTAATGTGGATGGTGTTGTGTCTGCCGGTTTGTTAGTAAATCCACCAGCACACCAGTCTACGGGAATTCTGTTTAATTCAGCTCCGTCACAAACATAACACCGGCACTCAACTTCCTGGTTTCAGCAACTGGATATTTCAAAATAAGAGTCCCATTCAGTCAGGAGAAAACATCTGTAAGCATACAGATGGCATTATTAGTACATTGATATTATGCAGGTACAATATCTTCTTTGTGATTGTTCAAGCTATAAACCCACTCTGACATGCTGGAAGTCACTCTCTTCCTGCAGTATGGGATGCTATGGCTTTAAGTAGCTAATGCTTCTGAAATGTGTTACATCAGGGCTATTCAACTGGCAGCCCGCGGGCCGGATGCGACCCGCGAGTGACCAGAGTTTGGCCCCCCAATTAGTTCATTCATCTCTTAAGCCCAAACCCCTGGTTATAAACTTAAATTTCTCTAAGTTCTTTTAGTTTGACATAGACAGGTTTGGTATCTACAGAAACATCAGAATCTTGGCTAGAAGCTGGTAAAACCTATTTCTATGAACATCCAAGACAGTTAAAACTACAAACAGTTGGAAAAAAATATATGAAAGTGAAAATCAAAAATTGGTTTAAAATTTTGCCAAGTCAGAGATGTCAAAAATAATATTTGTGTTAAATAAGAGGCAAAATGTGTGATTTTTGTTTTTGATATTGTTAAATTATCACTACTTTTATAGGGTTCTGTATGTTGTATTCATGATTAAATACAGCAAAATATACTGTTTCAAAGGTAACATATCTTTGTAATATTTGGTTTAATTACATAATGACTTTAATTGCTGGATGTTCGGCCCCTCAGCYGTTCGCCTGCAGTAACTGTGGCCCCTGGAGCAGTTTAGTTGAATAGCCCTGTGTTACATCCTGTATATAAAGAGCACACASTTTCTAAAGTTTCAACCCTACAAGTCACAACTTTATTAAAGTTTGGTGGATAAACATTATACACTCACCGGCCACTTTATTAGGTACACCACGCTAGTAACGGGTTGGACCCCCTTTTGCCTTCAGAACTGCCTCA